CTTGTGAATATCTTGCGATGACCCTTTCCACCACCATTCAGAAATGAAAGTAAGCAATAGTTTTTGGGTTTGTGAAACATTATTCTGTCTTGTGAATCAGAGCTCACTACAACAGAGGCTGAGCCTTCTACATTATACAAGAAATAATCTGTGGAAGGAATACAGAATTGGATCAATTATATAATTACATAATTATTTCTTAATAGAGGAATATGAAAGCAATTCCTGGCTGTTTCATTGCCTAAGTAACTTCTTTAACAAGCATTGATCTCTTCATGATTCTTTTTTAATACCCAAAAGATGCAGTTTTTTTGTTTGGTTGGTTTTCCCTTTTTTTTTCTCTCTCTCATGAACTGATGTTAACATTAGTAGTTAATTACAGACCTTTAATGAAGAAAGCTGTTGTCTAATTTCTGGAGTTTAGCTTACATTGTATGCTGGGACTATTTTTTCTGTCATAATAATGACTCAGCTGGTATTTTAGTCAGAAATAATCCAAGAGATGAAACCACTCAGAACTCCTTCACTTACCGAACAAATACACCAGCATAAAGGTTTGTCTCGATCTTCACTGTTACACTGTTTGTTGTTGGATTTCTACCATTATATCACATGAGTGAGACCTTGAGGAGCTGGGCTTCACACAATCTCCCCCCTCTCTCCTCAGTCACCGGGATTTTAGGAATAAGGACATTTGAGAAGATGGTGATGAAAGCAGCAGCCTTTAGCTTGCGGAAGCCACTCCTGTCACTTATGCTGCCACTGTGTCCCAAGCTGAGGAGCAGAAGGGACAGCTACGTTGCCTGCCTCGGTATCCTGTGTACATTTTTCCCACTCATACTTGTTTGTATTCCAGTAACTTGTGCCTGATGGAAGTATTTACTCTGGGAAGAAATTAAGTTTTGATTTGAAAACACTGAGGGACAGAAAAGCCATCACTTCTCTTAGTGATACCATCGCCCATTTTTAAATCTAATGTTTTCTGCTCGTAAAATTTTTTATGTGCTGCTAGCAGATAACTTCTCGATCCTTTTTTTTTTTTACTCAGCTAAACAGATTAGTCTTCTCATTTCTCCTATTTTAAAGGCACTTCTGCTTCACAAATTATTTTTGTGACTTTTCCCTTCACTCTTATAAAAATGTTTAACAAGCTTTTTGAAATGAAGCCATCACATCAAGATTCATTAGTCTCATCTTGCTCTTGACATTGTTAGACTATATTCTATAATTTCCACTTCAGAAGTACTCTCTCCTCTTCTTTATGATTATTTCCTTCATCTCTCTTCACAGTCCTTCCTCTATTTCCACTCTCCTCCTTCTTTACTTCCCTTTCCCTCTGAAATTTCCTCACTACACTTTATATAGCTATTCCTCTCCTCACAGCCTAACCCAAAGAATGGAGAACCACAATGAACAAGCACGTTAATCTCTGTCTGGAGCATAAGGTGATATTTAGAAATTATCTCAGTTCAGAATTACTTTTATAATTTTAATATTTCTCTTATCTATTTTACATCCATTTTAATATATTTGAGGGAATGATTGTCTCACCAAATATATTCTCTCTCTCTCTTTTTTTTTTTTTTTTTTTAGGTCCTAAGCTCATGTTCCATATTTGACTGTCAGCAAATAGATATTATCCCCATCTTGAATTTTATCAAGTATCCCATCCATCTGGCACTCCAGCACAGCTTTGGAATTTCAGTAACACACAATGAAAATGACAGTGGTTGCTTATTCTTACAAATCTTTCCCTTCCCATATAGGCATAAAGATAAAGATAAGACATCTTCTCTTTCTTATAGGTAAGAGCAACTGCAGATTTAGTTTCCCTGATTGTTATCTCTAGCACCCATTTAGACTGGGTGATAACTGTTAAAATGAAACATTATCATCTGATGACTAAATGTTCCACTAGTATCTCATTTCTATCAACTGTCAGTACAGACAGGCATTAATACAATAAAACTAAATAGGGGAAGAGATACGCTGCATGTGAAAAAAGATGAAAACTAGCTGAATAAATGAAACTTTGTGAAGAGATTGTTCTTTCTATTTTAATTTTAATTTCCAGCTGCAGATAAAGACAGTTTATAGGATCTTGGGCTTTGCAAGACAGCCACAGTTAGGATTCTTCCTCATGCACAAAGGTAATGGGGCAAAGCTCCTGGCTTTAGAGAAAATATCATATTTCATGGAACTTTCCTGTGGCTGAAAGCTGTATTTCAATTGTACTCAATGGTTACTGGGGCTGCTATGGGGAAAATTAACTCCACCTCAGCCAGACCAAATACAGGGGGCAAAGTACAAGAAGACAGAGTGGAATAACAATAAAAGCTTTTCTTCTATAAGATTAGTAACACAGTGATATAAAAATCATTACAGAGAAAAAAATGATCTTGGATTGTTTTTTTACATCCTGAACAGTTCCTTACATCTGCAAAGAGAGAAGTGGAGCAGCAAGACTCAAGTCTAGGTCCCTGGTATATGAGCTTAACATCAAGTTGTAGCGTTTCAATTAACAATAAATTAACACTTTATCTGTATGCATACAAGCTGTATTAAAACACTCTGAAGTTCATTGTGAGTCAATCTGTCTGTGTAGATTTATTTCACATGTTGTGTAATGAATGTATTTGACGTTCTTG